GGGGGGGGGGGCGTAGGACAGTTGATTTGTGTTTGTTACCAGTACAATTTCCCCATCCGTGACAGTACTGGAGAGAGACGAAGAAAGAAAGATATAAAAGAAGATTTTTTTACCGTCTAGCCTGATGCTATTATCTTTTCCTTATTTTATCTTCTTATCTTCTTCTTGTCTTATATCTTATTATCATCTATCTTAATTTATCTTATCTTATCCTTATTTTATCCTTATTTTATCTTTATTTTATCTTATTGGATCAATGTCCCCTCCCTGACTGACCTTACTCCGTGTGATCTCCCCAGGGCGACCTGCGGCGAATGTGGCACGAGCCGTTCCTTGCCACCCCACCGTCTAAGCACATGGAGGTTTAACCCCGGCTTGGACTAGACCAGTTTTAACGACAGTTGCGACTAGAGAGGTTGAATGGACGACGCGGACTAAAGAAGTTCAACACACAGACTTGTACGACCAATACACAGACTTGTACGACATTGACTAGATAGTTTTAATGTCGGCTCGGCCCAGATAGGTTTACCGTCGGCTTGACGTCGGCTTGACGTCAGCTAGGACCCGATAGGTTTAGAACTTTGCACCCACCTGGCGCAGAGAGCGCACAACACTTATCGCCACGGACCAAGATGCCGAGGCAGTACACGCTATATCACACCGGCGCTGATCGGCGTCCCGTGCGGAAACGGGACGGCTTCTTACCGTGGCTGATCGGTGTCTCGTTGGGGTATAGTGTTAACGTTGGCTTGGACTAGATCGGTTTAACGTCGACTTGGACTAGAAGTTTAACAAATGACCTTGATTCGAGAGCTGATAGAAGACTGACTGACCTGCGCAGAGCGTGCGTGTACGAGTGCATGAGTTTTCTCGGGTCAACGTTGTCTGTTGTCGTACAAGTAGCCGTGATTTGTACGCTGAATGAACGCCGGAATGTCGCCGACATAGCGTGTGTGAGCTTCTGGGCCGGGCTATACTGCTTTCCTACCGGAGCCTCGTTCTCAGATTTCGCAAGAAACTTCCATTCTTGGCTTCGGTCATTTGTGAGTGATTGAGAAACTTGTTCGCTCATTTATTGATTCGTTCATGGATTCATTCATTTGTTCGTGCGTCAGCCAGAGTGAATAAAGAGGGAGCATGAAAAGACATGGATAGGAGAGTGTTTGCTTCATCACACTTCATCTTTTTTGTAAATCAGAGGATTCGAATTGTGGCCATATGTGTGTGGCGGCGGTGCTCTGTATAGTAGAGCCAGATTGATGTCTGCTGGCGAGTGTGGTACGGAGAAGTACGGTTCTATTGGTCAGCCTCATCGTCCAATCAAGTTCCAGCAGACAGAATCATCTACGAGTGTACTACGGAAACGTAGGGTTCTATTGGTCAGCCTCATCGTCCAATCAGGTTCCAGCAGACAGAATCATCTACGAGTGTACTACGGAAACGTAGGGTTCTATTGGTCAGCCTCATCGTCCAATCAGGTTCCAGCAGACAGAATCATCTACGAGTGTACTACGGAAACGTAGGGTTCTATTGGTCAGCCTCATCGTCCAATCAGGTTCCAGCAGACAGAATCATGTACAAGTGTACCAGAAAAGTAAGGGTGAGCGGGCCTGTCAGTGGAGTGGAGAGTGAACATGTTTCCGGTATTTCGCCAGGTCGGTGGAATGTGAGGCGACTGTCACTCTTTTTGTGGCGAGACTCTCACTCTTTTGTGGCGCGACTCTTTTTTTATTCCGTTTGGGAGGCTGAGAGAAAGAACTTGAACTCTAAAGGAAGTGTTGTTTGGACCGTCTGCTTAAGATGGTTCACCCCACCCCACCCCACCGGGCCAGTGAAAGGTCGTCGTAGCAACAAACACAAGCGAAGGTGAAGGCTGCAGAGAAAGTTGGATCACCACTGGGCGGGCAGCCAGCCTGCTGCATGGTTACCATGGATACCAAGCATACATGGTTACTATGGATACCAAGCATACATGGTTACTATGGATTCAAAGGATACATGGTTGCCATGGATACCAAGCATACATGGTTACTATGGATTCAAAGGATACATGGTTACCACGGATACCACGGATACATGGTTACCACGGATACCACAGTCACCTCTGTAGCAGATGTTTGACCTCTGTAAAGCGAGGAATAGTGCTTGATTAAGATAATGATAATGATGATAATAATAACGATAGTTGCATTGATTTAGAGCCTTTTATCCACGCTCTATGCGCTTTACAATTGTCGTTATTATTACCGTACGTATTGTTATTGGATTTGTGTTTGTGACAGTGAAATGAGGAATAGTGTTGAATAATAATAATAATAATTATAATAATATTAATATTAATAATGATTATAATTGCATTGACGTAGTGCAAATGTACACTGTACAGCATGCTCTATGGGCTAATTATTGTTATCATGACGATGGGGAAGTATGATGAATACTATTATTATTATTATTATTGTTACTATTATAATTATTATTGTTATTATCATTTTTGTTATTTTTATTGTTATTATTATTATTATTATTATTGTTGTTATGGTTATTATTGTTTGATTATGATTATTATTAATCCTCGTCATTTCCCTACTTGCGTGTGTGTAACGGAAGGCATGTTCACCTGGAGGGACTAGTGTCTGTGGTTCTCACGGTCCTCGTTCTTGTTGGTAACCCATGCGGTCAAGCTGTCTGTGCTTTGTTCTGCGACACGACGGGAGGGGGTTAGGAGCGAAGGGGTCAGGGGTGAGGGGTCGCGGGTGAGGGGTGAGGAGGTGAGGGGTCTGGGGAAAGGGGTCAGGGGTCGCATGTGAGGGATGAGGAGGTCAGGGGTGAGGGATGAGGAGGTGAGGGGTCGGCCAGGGTGAGGGATGAGGAGGTGAGGGGT